ATCTGGTGGTTAACCGTGTCAAAAGCAGCGGACAGATCCAGCAAGATAAGTATTGAAGATTTGGAATCCGGTCTTGCCAGTCTTAGGGCTTCAACAACTGAGAGCAAGGCAGTCTCGGTTGAATGTCCACTTCTGAAACCAGACTGGTTTCTGTCGAGGAGGTTGTTCTGTGTGAGAAAGGCAGATACTTGGTTGAACACAACTCGTTCAAGTGTTTTTGCAATGAAAGGAAAAAGAAAAACAGATCTGTAGTTCTCTAAAAGAGATGGGTTAAGAGTGGGTTTTTTAAGTAGTGGGGTTATACGAGCCTGTCTAAATGCTGAGGGAAAAACACCAGTGTGAAGGGATGTGTTAATGATGTGAGTGAGTGCAGGTACAACTGCAGGAGAAATGGCTTGAAGGAGATGAGATGGAATAGGATCAAGCGGACAAGTAGCAGGATGATTAGAAAGGATGAGTTTGGAGACTTCTGCCTCAGATAGTGAAGAGAAGGATGTGAACGAGTGTATGTTTGCTGGTAAGATGTGCTTGACAGATTGTGGTGTGGGAAATTGTGCACTGATGGTTTTAATTTTATTAATGAAGAACGTGGCAAAGTCGTCAGCTGTTAGGGTTGATGAAGGAGGCGGAGGAGCAGGCCCGGACTGGCCATCGGGAGCACCGGGAGAATTCCCGGTGGCCTAGCGGCTGATTTGACCCACTGCCCTGTTTTTGGCTCATGTCTGTTCTGCGCTTCCGTCAAACGATTCCAAACAGAATCGATACGTGGGACTCGATGAAAGAGAGGAAGCGGCCAGAAGAAGCAGTGAAATGTAGCAACATCACTGACCTGTTCAGGGCTTCAATTGCAGGTCAGTTTCATCTGTATATATGCTAGATAATTTTGTCTTTATTAACGTAGTTGAGTATTAAACTGCTAGTATCTATTCAGTCAGATGATCAGTCAGAATACTGGGCTAAAGTACATCATTATCGATTGTAAAGTTACAAAAACAAAAATATAAATTTTTAGCAGAGACAGATATTCACATGGATTTATTGTACAGGTAGGGAGGGAGCTAGAGCAGACAGCAGAGTCACAACCTAATAATGTATGTTCAGTATTAAGATTTTTCAGTAAATATAAGCTATTGTACTAATTTTGACATTTAGGCACTTTAGAAAATGTGTTTTAATATATTTTTTTTTGTTTGTTTTGTTTGTTAAATAGGGCATTTAAGTAATTTTAAGATAAATAACATTCTGTGCTAACACATTGAAATGAGGTGGTTGTTTTCAAAAAAGTAATGTTTACTACTTTTTTTAATACTATACTTTTACTAGTAAAACCACGGTTGATGTTGATGTTTTTTTCTTTGTTTTGTTTTGGTTTGATGTTCAATTCCAATTATAAATCATATAATTTTATTGGATTCTTTTCGGAACAAAAACTAATTTGGCCATCAAAATTGAACACAATTTTAAATAAAAAATTAGATAATTTTATAGTATTTTTTTCTGGATCAAAAACTAATTTGGGCATCAAAATTGAACAAGGTAATATTTTTATGGTATTTTTCTGGAACAATTTGGGCATTAAAACTGAACAACTTTAAATTATACAATTTTTATAGTATTGAACTGGAACAAAAACTAATTTGGGTATCAAAATTGAACATATAATTTAAATTATAATAATATAGCTTTTATGGTATTTGTCTGGAACAAAAGCTAATTTGACAAAATCAAAATTAAACCTAAATTTCAATTAAAAATGACAATTTTATAGTATTTTCCTGGAACAAAAACAGATTTGGCCATCAAAACTGAACAAATTTAAATTATATAATTTTTATAGTATTTTTTGGAACAAAAACTAATTTAGGCATCAAAACTGAACATAAATCGACACTAAATACAACAACAACAACAACAAAAAACTTGTGGAAATACATCAAATCACTGATTGCACTGCAATAATGCATTGCAAATGAGTTTCCTGGTGCTAAAGGTTTTGGCAACAGTCTCATGTGCCATAAAAGCTATTCATGTTTTGAAAGCAGCTTTTGAGGAAGTCGAGCTGTCAAACGTCGAACCTTCACTGATAAGGTGTTGGCTACGATGCCGTCCACAGTGCTTTCTGTGAAGGGGTCGAAGTGCTTGTCCGGTCGTCTCATGAACTCTGGTTTGAGTCTGTAGCCGCTCTTGCCGTTGTACTCGTACATGCCGAGGTTCAGCTGCATGGACAGATCTGAGAGAGATGAGAGAAAATCAACAGCTATAAAGTCTGATTTCAGTGGACATTTCATATTACAGCATATTTGTCATAAGCCTCTCCCAGAGCGTGTTCATTATTCATCATCTCACCGATGGTCTGAAAGTTGAGTGCTATGAGCTGACAGCCGGCGTTCCAGAAGACCTGCGGCATGTAGTTGGAGGAATCCACGCGCGTTCCTTTAGGATAAATCCTGCTCAGCTGAAACTTGTTGTATCTACATGCACACGGTTAAGGGATCGTCATAACAAATTACACCGATAAATCAATAAATCAATAAATCAATAAATCATCCACCTCCATCACAACCAGGACAGACATGTGTGATCATCACCACAACATCACCTGACAAAACATTAAAGAGGTTGCATTTTTCAGAAATACTTTTTTCATAGACAAAGATTTTTTTTCTTTATTTTATAATTGTATTTTAATATAGTTTCCAAAAAAAAAAAATCTACTTAATCAATTTGGCTGATTTATCTCATAGTGTTGCTACTGCTGACTAAAACTAAAACTATTAAAATAAAATAAAATATTAAATTACAAACTTCAAACAATTTAAAATTTACTAGAAATTAGGGGGGAAAATATAGACATTAGAAAAAATGAGGAATTAGAAATCTTGACTTGGCATCTCACTGAAATAAAACATTATTATTTTTATATATACTTTATTTAATTTATATAATGTATTTAGTATGTATTTAAAAAAAAAATGTAATTACCATATTTTGTGTTTTTCTGCAACAAAAATTGATTTGGGCATCAAAATGGAATTTTTAAATTTAAATGATAAACGATATTATTTGTGTAGTTTTTTTTCTGGAACATTTTTTTTTTTACTTTTTAAACATTATTATTTTTACATATACTTTAATTTATAAAATGTATTAGAATGTATTTTTACATTTTAAATGATACATTATCATATTTTCTGTCAAAAATGGCCAACAACGTGGAACATATATTTTTAAAATATAAATTATATAATTTTTATAGTATTTTTCTGCAACAAAAACTAATCAAAACTGAACACCTAAATTATAAATTATATCATTTATTATCGTTTTTATATATTAAAAAATCTAGGCATCAAAATATACATATACGTATACATTTCGATTATATTAAAATAAAAATATAAAATATTTTAGTATAAACTGTGCAGATGTACTTGATTGTCAAAAAAATGCTATAAAAATAAGACGATTAATAAAACAAATTCAGTTCGGTGTCATTTATGTCAAATGCATACATCTAAAGGTATCACATCTAAATATATACTGTACATGTGTGAATTAGAGCATTATTTTAGTGAATAACAACTTAAATTTCAGTCCGTTCTTCACACAAACATATTAAATGGCTTTTGAAGACTTGCAATCCGGGCATGAGTCAGATGGACTACTGTTCTGAAATCTTCCTGACAGATTCATAAGTTCTGGCATAAATAATAGATGTTCTTGTCCTGGTTTGCTGTCAGAAATGCAGGCTGTGTTTGAAAGGATGCTCGACAAACTCCACCGGTGTCTTGGTGAGATGCTCCAGCGCTTTGGTCTCCACGAACGATGACATCTGATAACTGCGTTTGCTCTCTGAAAGCAGACCAAGCTGGTTTGAATCAGATCTTCAGATGGGTGAACTCTTCATCATATGCGGTCAAAACTTACTCTTGGAAATCTCAAACGAGTGGAACTTGGTGGGCTGGATGTAGTTGACCAGCGTGGACATTTCTTCAGTGGCAAAGGCTTCAGATCCTGCTGTACCCTGAATAAAAATCACAAAAACATCAATGTTTGAGCTCATGAGGTGGATGGACCATTTTCTGAAGGCTGAGCACCTCATTTCACAATTTGTTGAGAAAATTGTATATTTTAAGAGTTTCAAACCTTATTTTGCACTCCATTGGTGAAAACATACACAAGAGTTAAAACATTGTATTTACAAGCAGATTAATTAACTTCTGCGCATGACCTCAAAATGACCAATCAATCCGTTTCAAAATGAGACTTAAAGTAAAACTATTAACTATAAGCATTAGACAAAAAAACTAAACTTAAAAAAATATAAATGAATTAGAAATAAGAAAAAAACACAGAAATAAAAAAACAACTAGAAATTAGAAATAGTTAAAAATGAAATAAAAATAAATTAAAGCTATATAGAAATATTAAATAAAAAACCTACAAAAATAGAATTTAGAAATGTTGCCTTGGCAACTAACAGAAATAAATAAGTTTAAGCTGAAGTGCTAAAATTACTAAAACTAAAACTGAGATAAAATAGATTAAAAGGTATATATATATATATATATATAATGATATAAACAGCTTATTACAAATTCGAAATGTTGAAATAACTGAAATAAAATAGGTTATTTATATTGATTAAAAAGTACTAAAATAACTAAAACTAAAATAAAAAAAAGCTACATGGAAATTAAAAATAGAAAAGAAAAACTTAAAATGACAAAAGCACATAACAAAGTTACTCAAATTTCCACTAAAATGAAAACTGATGAAAATATGAATCAATACTATAATATAAAAGCATCATCTCTTCCTGACCTCGTCCATGGACTTCTTACAGTCATCATCATCATCATCTTCATCCTCATCATCCTCAGCCTCCACCTCTGCAGACGCTAAAGCTGAAAAACAGGATCAAATCAAACTTCAGTCAAATCAAATGCTGAGTTTCTCTTAAACAGTGGTTTGGATGCGCTGAAGAAAGTGCATGAGAGAGCTGGTGTGAGAGAAGAACCAGAGCTCAGACACCGAGGGTTAAGACACACTAATGAAAACGCTCTCATCATTTACTCGTCCTCGAGTTATTTATTTCACATACACGTCATTTCCAAACAACAACCGCCAACAATCAGTCTCCAAAAACACCCCACTTTCATTCATGGGCTAATCCAGTTCATTTGTGCAAAAATGTCAATTATTTATTTCATTATTTATGTATTATTAAATAAATAATTGTAAAAAATTTAAATTTATGGGTGATTTGTGCATAAATCTAAATTATTATTTTAATTTTTTTTGGGTGATCTGTTTAATTTGTCGCACAAACAAATTCTTTATTTAATTATTTATTTATCCTCAAATAAATAGCAATAAATAAATTAGACAACTGTAATTTTTGGCTGATTATGTAATGTAATTATTTATTTATTTATCATTAAATAGCAATAAATAAAGTAAATAATTGTCAAGCACATGAATGTGATGTATTTATCTATCATGAAATAAATATCAATAAATACATTACATAGAATTGTCATTTTTGTATGATCTATTTCATTTGTGCATAAATATACATTATTTATTTATCATTAATGATCAACAAATTAAATAACTGTATTTTTTAGGCGATCTATTTTATTTGTGGCTAAATGTAATATTTTTTAACTATTTACATATTATCAATCTATTCATCAAATATCAAATAAACAATATTTATTTGATTCTGCCAGCACTTGCATTAATGTCCTGCTAGCTGCGCTCTCCTGAATCATGTGAAATGGCTGTTACAGGTGACTCCACACAGTCCTGCTGCTGTTCAACATCTGCTTTCTGCATCAGTGCTGTCTGGACTCAACCTTTCAGAGCCTCGCATCCACACAAACACACGCTCAAATGTCATCCGCTCGACTCCTCAACCTCGGCGTCTGCTTCTGCTCCGCAGTAACTCGCTCGCTCTTTCCACTTGCTAAAGACAGACGTGAGCACAGACCCCATAATAGCTGACTCATCACAGATTTTCCTGCTACTTTTGAAAGATTTTAATGTACCGTGCAATCCGGCAGCCGCTTGCCAACAAATGTCAGATATCAATGGCAAAAAGTGTTCTTGGTTGTCTGTATTTTTACTCCCAAAGCATTTAAGTTATCCGTCTAGCAAATTTAAAATTTAAACATTTATTGGAAATTTGTACACATTGAATTTATTTTATTTCAATATTTTGTATATTTACAATTTATAAAATTTGAATTTATTATATTTTTTAAAGTTACAAATGATTATTTTTTTTATTATATAACATTGTGTTTATTTCGATTTAGAAATGTCATTTTTAATTTATTATATTATATTTTTTACAATTCAGAAATTTTAATTTACTATCTAATATTGTACATTTATAATTGATGTATTCAATTCATATTTAAATTATTTGTGATTTACTGACAAATGTATTAATTTATCATATTATATTGTATATTTACAATTTAGAAACACCTACAAATTTAAATCGTATTTTATTTACAATTTACAAATTTAATTGCGATATATTATATATTATATTATATTTACTATTTACAAATACAAATTTAATTTTAATTTGTTATACATTGCATATTTACAAATTATAACAAAAATAATTATAACAAAACATTACAGTATATTGTATAATTACAATAAATTATAAACTCTACATTAGATCTACAACTTAGAAATGTCATTTTAATAATTTTTTATTATTATTTTAGAATATATTATGCATGCATCCATTCTCCAAATTATTCCATCCATTCTCCGCTTATCCTATAGGATCGAGGAATTATATTATATTATATTATATTATATACAATTTACAAATTTAATTTAAATTTATTATATTATATTGAATATTTACAACTTTACAACAAATTTATACACATTTATATTTTATTTACAATTAAACAATTGAAATTTAAATTTATTATATTATATATTTACAATTTTCAAATTTACACAAATTTAAGTTAATTATATTTTATTTACAATTAATAAATGCTAATAAGAGCAGCACTACGGTTTGTATATTTTCAAATTTCACCGTCAGACATGCAAATTAACATTTAAATTATTATTTTTTTTAAATTACAAATTATTACTTTTTTTTATTAATTATTTAAATAAATATTTAAAATAATAAACACTTAAATTAATTAATTAAATCTTGTTTAATTTAGCACTGTCTGACTCAGTCATGCAGATTTGAGGGTGTAATACCTGCGGGTCCAGTGCTGGGAGACGACGGCTCAAAGACGCTGGACGAGTCGCTGTTGGTGTTGGACGCCTGCTCGGACAGCTTCTTCTTAGTGCTGCCGTCTGAGGGTTTGGGGTGAGATTTCTTGTTCTTGATGAGGATCTTTCCCACGAGCTCATGAGGGCTTGGCAGAGGAACGCCGGACTCAAGCTGAAACACAGCAGAATCAGTCAGGAGAACGCTGGCTGATAACAGAGCACAAATGCATCAGGGACAGAGACACTTACAGGATATTTCTCCAGAGTCTCAGTCAAAAGAGCGTCCCCGAATATCGATCGGCAATATTCTGCCATTTTGGCTTGCTGTTTGGGGCTGCCATTCAACAGAAACACATGAAACAGCCATTTTTGCATAAACAGTGAGTAACAAATTAGCGCTTCGCAACATTTGCTGCATCAACAACAGTAAATTACAGTATAAAGTCCAAGACCAAGATAAAATCTACAGACCGTTTTATCATTTCTTTGCTGATTTAGGGGGGAAATTTGGAAAATTCTGCTGAATAGATTTAAATATGGTAATAAACAAAATGCAGCAAAAAGTCATATTGGAACAAAGCAAAATAAAATAAAATAATAAAATAAAATAAAATCTTCACTGATTTAGGGGTAGATTTTGAATACTGCAGAACAGATGGTAATAAAATGAACTAAACATTGGAAGCTGAAAGCATAATAAAAAATAAAATAAAATAAAATAATTAAATTAAATTAAATAAGAAATTAAATATTGAATATTGTCACGCTCAGGTCGAGGCAAGGCACACGAAGATGAAGATAATCTTAATAATATAATTAATAGTAATCCACGATGATGTAGACTGGGTGACAACAGTAACAAACTATAACCGACCGAGCACTGAACAAAGGAGTGAGCTTAAATGAGGCAACTAATGAGGGCAACACAGTGCAGGAGTTTAACTGATAAAGAACTGAACAAGATAATGACCTAATGAACTAAACTAGGACAGGAACAAAACCAATTAAGGGAAAACAGGAAAAGGAAACACAAAAGACAAAAATCAAGTCCATAATAGTGACAGATCGCCCCCCGCCCGGAAGGCGCGACCTCGCGCCGTTGACACAAAGGGAGGGATGGAGGGGGACATAGGAGGAGGAAGCAAGGAGTGGAGAAGGGATGCTGACAGGGGATGGCAAAGTGCTGGCAGGCAGACAAGACAGGTGGATGCCAACCAAAGTCCATGGTGAAGCTGACGGAGGGAGGAGTCAGGGAGAAGCCAGGAGGGAGCAGGAGGAGCCAGGTGGGACCCAGGCCACAGCCATGATGGTGGCCCACAGTGGAGCCAACAGAGGGAGGAGCCATGGTGGTGGAAGGGCTGACGACTCCAGGGGGCCGACCGACGGCAGCGGAGCAGGTGGTGGAGCCCGAGGCGGAGATGGAGAGCCGAAGAACCAAGGTGACGCTGAGGATCCGGAGGGCCAAGGCGGAGCAGATGGCTCCGGAGCGACAGAGGACCCAGGTGGAGCCGGAGGGAAGGAGGAGCCTGACAAAGCCAGAGGGACGAGGTGCAGCCGGAGGAGTGGAGTCCCGAGGCGGCGGATGGTCGACGACAGACCAAGGCGGAGCCGGAGGGACGAGGGAGCCCAGCGGAGCTGGTGGACTGACGGACCACAGTGGAGAGGAGGGAGCTAGGAGCCATAGTGGAGCCGCTGGGTCGAAGGGCCGAGGTGGAGTCCGGGACTCAGAGGCTGGAGGCAAAGACAAGGGATCCTCCAGCCACGACGCCGATAGAGACTGGCAGACCGCCGGCGATCCCACCGCACTGATGGTGGGCTGAGGGTTAGCAGAGGGGCTGTCAGGAGACAGCGGAGGCGATGGTGAGGACTGGTGCAGAGGTAGTGGGAGAGGGAGGCTGTGCGGGAGTTCAGGATGATCAGGGGGCTTAGTAACGGTGTGTGCTGCCCACACACACCACAAGGCCACTCCCAACACCGGGAGCGCCAGTGACAGGGGAACGACTTCCGTGGTTGTTGTCCCACAGGCAGATAGACAGTTCAGGGCAGACAGATAATTCAGGGCAGACTGACAGTTCAGATGATGGTGGGAGGAGAATGGGCATGTCCGCATATAAATCCGAATCATAGTCCACTGAGCTCGGCTCACCCTCAGCCATGGTGCAGTGGGTGGAGCTTCCCTCCGCGCTCTCGCTGTCCATAGCGATGTCCCCCATGGCGGGCTCTGTAGCCGGCTCTCGCACCTGGTCTGACGTCACAGGCTCTGGCTCCGGGGCGATCCTCAGCTCTGTCGCTCCTCTTGGCGATGGCTCGTCGGTCCCAGTGGGCTCTGGCTTTCCATCATCGGTGGGCTCAGGCTCTTGCTCCGCGCAGCGGGGTGATGTTGGGCTGGGCTCTGGGTCGAGCAGCGTTCTAGATCGGGGCCGGATGCTCTCCAGATGCCTCTCCATGATCGCCTCCCTCCAGTTAAATCCCGTGGTGTCTGGGAGGTCGACGGGGCGGTGACAGTTTGCCCCGATCTTGAACAGGGACTTCAGCATCTCGTTGTTGAAGGTGGTGGTTACGGCGAAACAGCTGAAGTCCCTCACGAAATCCTTGATATCCTGGCTCCTCTGAGCCAGAGCGGCGAATCTCGCAGCGAGCTCCATAACAAAAAAAAACAAACACTTTCAAAAAGGAGAACACAGGGTAAACACGCAGCGCACTTTCACTTCTTTGGGTCGGTTATTCTGTCACGCTTAGGTCGAGGCAAGGCACACAAAGATGAAGATAATCTTAATAATATATTTAATAGTAATCCACGATGATGAAGACTGGTACAAGATAATGACCTAATGAACTAAACTAGGACAGGAACAGGAAGGGCAAACAGGAAAAGACAAAACTCAAGTCCATAATAGTGACAAATATAAAAAATAGAACAATAACCTAAAATTAATTTGATATTGATTTAGGGAGAAGTTATGTAGAATTCTGCAGAATAGATTTAAATATGGCAATAAATAAAATATCCTAAACTCTTATTAGAAGTTGAATGCATAATGAAATAAAAATGTAAAAATAAAATAATAAAATAAAATAAATAATAAAAATGTTGGTTAAAATAATCTAAAATAAAAAATAAAATATGGAATAAAATAGCATCTTAATTTAAATAAATTAAATCTTAATTTAAATATGGCAATAAACAAAATATACTAAACTCTAATTTGAAGCTGAAAAGCATAATGAAAAAAATAAAAATAAAATAAAGAATAAAATATAGAATAAAAAATTTAATTGATTTAGGGGGAAATCTTCTAAATATGGTAAAATATGTAATATGGTAATAAATAAAATGTCCTAAACCCTAACTGGAAGCTGAAAGCATAATGAAATAAAATAAAATAAAATACAATATAGAATTAAATAAAATTAAAGAATTAAATAAATAAAATCAAATAATTATTAAACAAAAATTCCAAAATTAGCACCTGGCAATGTTCACATGCATGTCATTCTGGGAAACTACATCTGCAGCTGTGATGTGACTGAAGTGAAATTCCCCGACTGCATGCACATCATGTCATCTCTGATTTGATGCAGAAACTGAAGCGAGCCAGCGCGTGTGACATCTCACTAGACAACAATGATGACTGAAAACAAATTATGCATTTCAGAGACACTTCTAATCGCTCCACTCTTTGTTGCCATAGTTGCAGTCGGCCCCGAGGAGCCGCGGCGCTACAGGAAGAAAACCAGCAGCGTCTACACTTACGAGTCCACATGATTCTCAAAGGACAGGATGACGGGGAACGGAGACGTCTTAAAAGCGCACTCTGCTATGGCTTCGATCACTTCCTGGAAAACAAGAATAGATTGAAATATTTTGATATGTCATAGTGGAATAGCTCCATTTATATTGTTTATCTCTCTTTTGAATGCAGTTATAATACTAAATGCATAGGCATAGCTGATTTTTATTATAGTATTTTCTATTTAACTTGTTACTGAATACAATGTACTTTAATTAGGCTTTGTTTTATTATATAAATTAAACTAAATAAAAAAATAATGAAATAATAATAATAAAAATAATAACAAATTAGGTCGAATTCTGTAGAATAGATTTAAATATAGGAATAAATAAAATGTACTGAACTCTTTGTGGAATCTGAAAATAATAAAATAAAATAAAATAAAAATGAAAAAGTAAGATGAAATAAAATAAAAATAATAAAAAAATGAAAAAGTAAGATAAAATGAAAAAAGAAAAGAAATACAATAAAATAAAATAATATCTTTGGTGGTTTAGATTTAAATATGGTAAGAAATAAAACGTACTAAACTCTTTTTAGAATCTGAAATGAAACAAAACAAAGTAAAATAAAATAAAGAATAAAAGCTAAAAATGACAATAAATGTACAAAACTCTTATTGGAATCTGAAATTATAATATAATCAAATCAAATAATTATTAAAAACGAATTAGCTTTAATAAAATTAAACAAGCATTCACAGGGCTGTAAACTGCAGACAGTTTTTGTATGGGACTGTGTATCAGGCAGTGAGAAAATGACTCAGTGCACCAATAATTTTTTATAGAAACATCTCCAAAAGCAGAAAATAGCTCCAAGTTAAGTACTACTTAACAGTGTGCACTGATGAAAGGCTGTGTGAGAACTCAATGGTAACCTAACTCTGGTGAGCGTGTGGTGGGTCACCTTGAAGGAGATTTCTGAGGTCATGGTGAAGCCGTGTGTGATGACGGGTTCCTCCTCCGCCGTCCGGCCCTTCCAGCAGTCCAGCTCCACACAGCGACAGCCAGACAGCAGCGTCTGCCGGTACATCTCAACAGAGGAGTTCCCCGCGAGCTGCCCAGCTGACAACACACACACACACACACACACACACACACACACAAACGCTGACTGCATGCACAAACTAACATGCACTCACACAAATATTTTACTTGAGTTGAAAGCTTGTTTCCACCATGGGATCAAACAAAATAAAAAATGTAATTGTGACATTTTATCTCACAATTCTGATTTTATAAACTCAGAATTGCACATTTAAATTATTTGTAATTCTGAGAAGAAAAGTCTGAATTGTGCGATATAAACTCAGAAGAAAAAAGTCGCAGATACCTTTTTTTATTCTGTGGCAAAAAAATAAAAAAATAATAAATTGCAAGATGTAAAGTCAGAATTCCAAACAAAACCTGAGAATTGCTAGATGTAAACTTAGAAAAAATGGTGAAAAAATGATGAATTATGAATAGATGTGTTTGTGTCTTTTTAATCTCACAATTCAGATTTTATAAACTTGCAGATCTGAAGATCTAATACATGATATAAAAAATAGGGGAAAAAAATCATAATTGTGAGAAAAACAGTCATAATTACCTTTTTTATTCCAAAAAAGTCAGAATTGCAAGATGTAAACTCAGAATTCTGAGAAAAAAGTAAAAACTGTGAGATTTAAACTAAGAATTTAGAGAAAAAAAGTTAAATTTGCAAGATTTAAACTCAGAATTCTGAGAAAAAAAGAGTAAAAATTGCGAGAAAAGTCAGAATTGTGAGATAAAAAGTCATAATCACCTTTTCTGTTTTTATTCCATGGCAGAAACAATCTTCAATAGTATGGACTGCATTATGATACTTTCATGTTTTTTGTCCCTTTTTTGAGCTTGACACAATTCTTCTTATGCATTTTATAAACAAACAAAAAAACAGCAACATCATATTGGCTTGAATGTCATAAAGCTGAAAATAATGAAGACAGAAGATTCATTTTTGGGTGTGCTGTTCCTTTAAGAACACCAGTTGTTGCGTGTAGCGGTTAAGTATGTACTTTAGCAGCACTGTGTGTTAGATTGGTACATTAGCAGTACATTGACCATAATTACATTCATTATTCATTTCCTCTTTGTTTTTGCGTCTAGCATGTTCTCAGCTCCCTCTCCTGATAATTGCTTCTTACGTGATGTAATGCACTTTATCGTAAGTAGACTTTGATAAGAATACAAATGTAAATGCACTAACGCATATAAAACATTTTACAGATGTTGAATTATTATTATAGAGATTGTAAGGAAACACAGATTCCTCTCACACCATATTCTTCTTCTTAGCAGCAGCTTTATGCAAACTGATTAAAATAAAGGCTACATTCAAACTTTGTTTAGCAGATCATTTCAGCTTTAGGACTTCAGTCTACTTTGAGATTTTGCAACTTTATGCATCTTAAGAAACTTAAGAGATATTTTAGGGAAATCTAAGGGCTATTTTGCCATAAAAAATTCTATCTATCTATCTATCTATCTATCTATCTATCTATCTGTCTATCTATCTCTCTGTCTATCTATCTATCTATCTATCTATCTATAAGCGAAGCCATTTAAGCAGGTGCTATAAAAAATCAAATGCATTATTATAATGAATTCTCTAATAAATTGTGTATTTGCATTCAGACAGGAGTGTGTGTGTGTGTGTGTATGTGTGTGTGTGTGTGTGTGTTGAGGTACCTGTGAGGTAGGTGTTGTGGGACGAGTTGATGAAGTACTGAGAGAGAGGGAAGGTCATGTCTTCACTCTGGTCCAGTTTTTCTGGTGGAATGACGCTGTTCTCCTCACTGATCAGATACCTGGCGAAGCCCTCCACTGAGATCTGCCCTGTTACACAAATCAGATCAAAAAAACTTCATGCATCACATCACATTTCAGTAGACAAGACCATAGGCATAATTTCAGGACCTTCAAACTGCAAAATTGCATTCACAACCCATTTGACTCCATTAACATGTTGTATTTTGACTGTTACTATCATTCAAAACGCTGAGGTCGGTGAGAGTCTTCTGCCCACCAAGGCGGCATTTATTTGATTAAAAATACAGTAAAAACAGTAAAATTCTGAAATATTATTACAATTTAAAATAATGGATTTCTATTTTCATACATTTTAAAATGTAATTCATTCCTGTGATGCAAAGCTGAATTTTCATCATCATTACTACAGTCTTCAGTGACAGCAAAATTGTGAAATATTATTACAATTTAAAATAACTGTTGTCTATGTGAATATCTGTTCAAATTTAATTTATTCCAGTAATCAAAACTGAATTTTCAGCATCATTACTCCAGTCTTCAGTGTCACATGATCCTTCAGAAATCATTCTAATATGCTGATTTGCTGCTCAAGAAACATTTCTGATTATTTGTTGAAAACAATTCATGTTTTTGTGGAAACTGTCTTGCATTTTCCTTTTCAGAATTCTTCGATGAAGAGCAAGTTCAAAAGAACAGCATTTCTTTGAAATAGAAATATTTTGTAACAATAACACTTTTGATCAATTTGATTCATACCTGCTAAATAAAAGCATTAATTTCTTTCAACAGTTGTGATGGTAGTGTATGAAGTTCATGACAGTAGAGCGCTATACATGCAACAGAGTTGATTTCACCTCGGAATATTATCACTGTCTTTCTCTCTTTTGCACCTCAAGTAACAGCTCGTCTCGTGGAGTAAATTAGCACTGCGACTGCAAACAGACTTCAAATTAAACTCAAGCTGGAGATCAGCACTGGCGGCTGAAGGGAAGACACTCGGGATGAGCGTCCCCTGCGACTCATCCTCAGCAGCACTTTACATTAATTAAAGCTGTTCTTTACTGAGCTCCGGAGGTAATTAACCTTGGCCATTTTTCTGGTGGGACGGGGCGGCTCAGTGGGGATCGCCGACGTCTCTGTCGCTCCAGAGCAAACAGCCTTCGATTTGCACACACCGAAATAACATCAACCACCTTGCTGTCGCGAACAGGGAGGCAAATGGCTTTTAAAGACTACAATTAGTGCACACTGCTGAAATTCAGCAATTGTCCTGTCGAGTTAAATGGAGAACGAAAGAACAAAATCACATCTGCTGTCACTGTCTTTTCAGGCCAGTTAGATGCTCAGACAGGTCTACTTTCAAGATTTCACAGGGTTTTATGCTGGTTTGGCCATTAGGCTATAAGTCAAGTCCTTTATTTATATAGCGCTTTTAACAATACAGATTGTGTCAAAGCAACTGTACAGCATTAATTAGGAAAATAGTGTGTCAATAATGCAAAATGACAATAGTAAACACTC